GACAGATGGGTGTGCTTTAGTGGAAATTTGAGCTCAGTATGAAGGCTGAAAGATGTGAAAATGACACTGCATTGACTTGAACTGATAAATACAGTGCCCGGGGGAGGAGGTAGTCTTTGACTGAAATGGCTCTGTAAAGCCTGCAACCCTTACCCCATCTATCTAGCATTGCAAGAGAAAAACCAAAATCCATGTCAAAAAGTTTATATTAAAACTATCAGGATGCAAGATGAGCATGAGATAAAGGACCACATGCGTTATTACTTCCTTATGCAGCGCTTAGAAGGATGCAGGCATGACTGTACGCACACACTCGACACTACATCAACACCTTGTGCGTATTTACACACTCAGTCATCCCTTGTGTCTCTCTGCCTGAAGACCTCCTCCTTGCTGTTTGAAATACAGCCTCTGAGCTGCCTGTTTCACAGCCACATGTGCGAGCCATCAGTGTTGACTCTGCCTCCCCCTGTCCGCCTCACTCAGACACAGAGGAAAAGATCTTAGGGTCTCTTGTGTATGATGTTATTTTCTGAAGGGCCAAAGTAAGATATGTGATCTGAAATTATATCCAAAAAGTGTGTTGGTCCATATGTAGACTCTTGTGTGTGGCCAGACGATGTATACAGCAAGAGTGGATCAGCGGATCTCTCTGTGGGTGTGTGGGTGTGTGTGTGCGGGCTGTAACAGGTAGGAAGACTAATAATGTGAGAGGGAGAGCACTTTGGAACAGCTTGATGTCTTCAGGGAGAAAGAAAATGTCTATTTGTGGCAACCAAATGAAAAAGGAAGCCAGTCTGTCCCAGAAACTGCAGGTCCCCATCAATGTTTGGGTGACTCAATCGCTTTTTTTTTTGTCTTTTTTTTTTTAATGATTTATTTAATTTCTATTGAAGTTTAAAATATGCAAAATAAAAGGCACTGCAGCTTTGACTGAAAAGTGGGCACTATCCTGTTCAGCAATTGTTTATGGCAAATCTCCGGAAATAGATATGAATAAGCTATGTTGACATTGTGTTACATGAAACTTTATGGTTTATCTTTCTGGTTTGCCTTTGCAGTGCGCTTGTAGTCCAAATGCTATTGACCGTTGGAGCAGGCTTTGGTTGCATGCAAGAACATAGTCCATGTGGACTGTAATACATGGAAAACATTTGTTGTAATGCAATTGAAAATCATCAGCCATTCTCTGATGACATTTTTTATGCTTTTAAAAAGATCTTTATTCATAAACATGCTTGCAGGATAAAAATGTAAATCTTAGCCTTGAGATGTCCTGGCTTCACTGGAATCCCAGAAAACAACCATTCGCAGAAGCCAAGTCATCAGACTATCTGATCAGTTCAAACATGGACACATTAACACATCGCTCACTTATAAAGTGGTTAGCTTATTACACATTACTTTGTGTCTGGTGGTGCCTAGAGGACTTTCCAGGTTGTGATTTATATAAACTTCCTGACCCCAAAAAAATCACCACCTGGATTTAACTAGGCAAATAGTTCATTACTGATTAATATATTTAGGCTGGCAAACATAACTGAAGCTGTGAATAGAAGATTGGGTCAACTGACTGCCTGAGTATATTGACTGACCAAATTTTTCCATCAGTGGATTTTTTCTTCCCTGATGACATGGGAATATTCCCAGATGTCAATGCTGGGATTCAGAGGGTTCAAACAGTGAAAAAGTGGTTCAGGGAGCAGGAGCTGTTGCATACACTTCTATACACAGATTGAGCACCACAGAGTTGAGATCTTAACCCCACTGAGAACTGTTGGGAGTTGCTGGGGAAGAGTACGCAATAGTCCGACTCTCCCATCGCTAATGTGGAAAAATGAATGCAACTCTGGATGGAAATAAATGTTGCTACATTGTATAAAATGAGTGTTTGACCAGTTTTTTTGGTAGTGTATTTACCCGGCCCATGTTCATGAACAGTATCTTCAGCCTGATGTAGCGAAATTCGCCAACGAGTCAGGGAGTAGACATATTTCCCTAGTGACCATACGCTGTATTATGTCCAACATGGTGGGTAACTCGATCAAGTGCGCGTGAAATCACGTGAGGAACTACTCACTTTTCCAGATATGGTCACATCTGGCTTAAAATGCTAACCAAAGTAGCAGCAGTGGAAATGCCAAACTGAAGCCTTTAAAACAATGGTCCAAAAATAAATGGGTAACAGCAGAGTGGAAATATGCTCTCTTACCAAGAGCTGGATAGGAAGATTGATAGTGTTCTCAATTGCATTTGACCAGTGCTACTCAAACACTGTCGGCACCATATTATATCTCGATAGCAAAAATAAGAAGGAAGGAAAAGAAAGAAGACAAGCGTATACAAGGATTTATATTCTGGGCTGCCTCTTGGTCAAAGGAATGGAGAACATTTTTTGCTCTGGACAGTCGAGCTGTCTGCGTCTGGTATCGGTTGTGAGAAACTTAACGTCACAACAGCCCCGTGCAACCATCAGACCAGAGGGAGCATTTAGTTTTTGCTATCCACCATCACACTTCTGTTTGTCCAAAGGCCCACTGGAGCCATAGAGCTGAGTTATTCTAGTATCCCGAAAAGCAAGAGCCACATCAGTAACATTTATGCACAATTTATAATTGATGTGCCTATTTGATCTCCCTCTTCACCATGAGAAAAGCCATCTGAATAAACAAGGATGGTGTAAGTTTACGGCATCAATATGCATTCCTTTCCTCTTCTTCTCGTCCTCGTACCAAAATCCAGCAGACCTTTAAGAATAACTCAAACCCTGAATGTGTCGTACTCACATTCGAGGCCACCTGTCACATTTTCCACTGAGCAAGCAGAACTCTGTCGACTGCTTCCCCCTCTCAAAGAAAATATTGAATGTAACTTGATAACAGATCTGACAGGAAACTAAAAACAAAGAATTTTCGATTTTTGTCTAGCTAACAGTAACAGACAATTACCTTTTTTTAGTCTGAGCCTGTAGAGCTACAATAGGAATCTAGTATCTCAATTATGTATCTCGCACGGATGCATTCTTTCACAAACAAAACCTGAATGTGAGATGGAAGTAACATAATTGAGCTTTGTAATTGGCCGATTTCAGAATTCCAATCAACCAATTGTGAGTCCTTTTCCTTTCTGCTTCTTTGCACATTTAGATGTTGAGTCATGCAAACCGGTGGGCCTGGGGGATCAGGAAAACATAATGAACTGCACTTATTGTGTTTCTGCTACCTGGCGACTGCAAACACTAACAGAAATAAAGGCGTCGCTTCGCATGAGACTTTTCCTTTATTGGTAGTAAAATTTGGATTCAGCAGGGAGATCTGCCCAGGAGCAGACTGCAGTGCCTTATTAGCCCTGGGGAAAGGGAGTGGGCCCTTTCGTGCCATGTTCACAGAGGCACGTCACAGGCTATTTGTCATTTTACGCATGTGTGTCTTAGTGTGTGTATGTGGGGGAGGGGAAAACTGAAAAATAGTCACATCTCTATTCCTATTGCAGTTCTTCTCGTGCTTCTTTAGCGGCCTAGGACAATCACAGTTTCGTTGCTTTTTTTTTTTTTTTTATAAGATTTTAAAAATGATATTGGGGCACTTTGTCCCTTTAGATCAAATAAACTCATTTAGTTTACATAGAGCAATATCACAAATTATAAATTTCACTCAATGACTAGTGGTTAGAAAATTGGTGGATGAATGGATGAGCTCTACACCCTTAATTTGGATTAGAAAAACTCTCCCAAAAAGCCCTGTAACTGAGATGAGGATATAAGAGACAACCAACACATTGCAAATATGTATGAAAAATACAGGTCCTGATAAATAACTCAACAAACTTGAAGACTTAAAGGTACAGTCAGCTGTTTTTTTCATTTATTATTAAAAGAAGAAAACAATACTGTACTCATAAATATACTTTAATTAGTGTAAATAAACTTACATATTATTCAAGGTATTGTCAAAATGACTTATTGTCAGTAGATTAGGCATACGAACCTCACGTCTTCAAACAGTTTACAGCGAGCTAGCTAAACAACAGCAGCTAGTTATAAGCACATTATGCCAGCTAACATTAGGCTTGAGTGTCACACGTTTCCTCTCATAGACCTCTCTATATTCTCTGCGTTCTCAGATCGTGTCATAGTCTACGGAGCCCCCCAGGGGACATGGGAGAAAAAAAAATTAGGGAGGAAAAAAAAAAAAATTAGGGAGGAAAAAAAAAAATAAGACGGACTTTTGCGAGATCTCGCAAAAGTATTGCGAGCGCTCGCAAAAGTATTGCGAGATCTCGCAAAAGTTTTAGCCGCATTCTTCGGAGGCCGCCAGCTCGAAGCCGACCGGGAGGTCGAGGCACGATGTGCCGGGAAAGCGGTGTTCCTCCCGGCTGTAGTAGGTCTCGACTTCCCGTTAGCTTCGAGCTAGTGGCCGCCAGCTCGAAGCCGACCGGGAGGTCGAGGCACGATGTGCCGGGAAAGCGGATGTCCTCCCAAGGCTGTGTAGGCCGCATCTCTTCGAGCTAGGCCGCCAGCTCGAAGCCGACCGGGAGGTCGAGGCACGATGTGCCGGGAAAGCGGTGTTCCTCCCGGCTGTAGTAGGTCTCGACCTCCCGTTAGCTTCGAGCTAGTGGGTGTCAGATCTCCAAAACCGTCGGAGCTACTTTTGCAAATATGTGATGTCTTGTAAACCGAGCAGGTATCTGACGTTTACACAACTACATTCACGCCTCAAAATATCTTAAAAGTGTATTTTGTGACCCAGAAAGAGTAATATTACAACTAAGTAGCTGCCGCCATTGTTGGAGTTTTGCGAGATCTCGCAATACTTTTGCGAGCGCTCGCAATACTTATTGCGAGATCTCGCAATACTTTTGCGAGCGCTCGCAATACTTTTGCGAGATCTCGCAAAAGTCCGTCTTAATTTTTTTTTTCCTCCCTAATTTTTTTTTTTTCCTCCCCAATTTTTTTTTCTCCCATGTCCCCTGGGGGGCTCCGTAATAGTCCAACAGTGTTAGATCTATTTCAAAGAAGGTTTTGCTAACATTGGCTAACAGCAGCTGACAACATCAAAAAACAGCAGCGCTTTCCAACAGAAAAGTTCAGGATATCCTCAAAATCTCACCTCAGTATCGCTGTGATTGGACATAGGTGAGTGTCACTGACTTATTAAAATTTTACACATTGTAACTTTAGGATCATGTATTATTAGGAGTGGTAGGTGTCAACTCATCGTATCCAAGTCACCAAACTGGACCTCTTGACCATGTTTGCAATGTTAGCGCCATTTGGAAGACACAATTAGTACAAAATGAAAGACCCAAGAGGTGAAATGAATCAGTTTTCTACCCTATAAAGTGTTTTAGACTTCAGACAGGAAATGATGGAAGGATGGATGAATTAGGGCTATTTATATCTGTGGGCATATAATCCATTGCATGGGCGTGGCATCATTTCTTACCTCTTTTCTCTGGATAGCCTTTTGGAATATTGCCGCTTTGTGACTATTTCTGATTGAAAGTGACAGTCTAAATGCTGCAAAGATATACTTTTGAAGGATGATGGCAGAGCTGAAGTGAAATGAAGCATAAGCCCTGGGGATCAATACACCCCAGAGTGAGTCAACAGGAGACAGACACACACACAAAACTTTCCTTCCTTCCAGAGAGGAAATGTTCACTCCATAAATATTTGGAGTTTGCTAATTGAAAGAATCTGCGCAGCTTAAATTCTGGGAGGTTCTTTAAACACTGCGCTCATATGGATCCTTTGTATCTGTCCCCTTGTTCTTTAGTGCCAAGTGAAATGAGCTGAGGCTGTGGTAAACAGACAGACGCACATTCGAGGACACAGATACACACACAGGTTAGATTTAATCAGCTATTGGTATTGTGTGTTTGATAGTCCGTTGTTATCCAACTGAAGACCCTTTGTTTTGCTTTGCCATCAGTGGCGCATTATCCTCGCATTGTGACTGACAGGCTGGTTACACGCAACACAGCATAGATGCGCTCAGAGTAGGCAAATTCAAGCTGCCCTCTGGGGGAAAGGACTGCTTGAAATTCTAAAAACATGTTTGCATGTGACTGTGTTTGCATTCAGAATGAAAATTTTATGAACAAAGGTGTGTTTTTTTATTTTTATTACTGTAGTACACACAGACACAGACCTGCTAAAGCTTATGGACACCTAAAGTAGAGTATGGAGGAGCAGCTGGAGCAGTTACTCTCAGTAGTTAGACAACTAGCTCATCTTTGTACTACAGGGTGATGTTGTTGTAAGCCTTTCCACTTAAGATGCAAGACTTCAGCACAAGCCATTGTTGATTATCAGCAATGCATTACAGCAGAGCCAGTTTCACATGAGTCTGTGTGAAATGATATGTGGCGGGGTTGGATGATTTTCTATGCAGGAATCTCTCTTTGTGTTAATAAGTCATGGTCTCTACAGGCTGGTGTCAGGGTCAGTAGTTAATTTGTAACCTGTCCCCTATAAGAGTCTTCACTGTTATCCAGTTTCCAGCCAGTATACCTCTGCATTCACAGCGTGGTCCAGTTTAGAGAAGGGTGGTGGGGAAGTGGGCTGCAATGAAAACCAAAAAGGGTGGAAATCCTACACAGGATCCCAGTGGGAAAACTAATGACCCAACTCAGATGACTGCAAGCCAGTTGCGGTGCAGCAAGGCTGGAGAATGCCTGATGAACACTGGAAGCATAATGCTAATAGTGGCTATCCTGTACACTTGCATTGATTGGTGGATTCACTTCAAAGATCCCCAAGAAGAGCTGAAACAACTGATTGGCCCTTTCCTGGCCATAGTCGCACTTGGTTTCCTATTCCTAGGTTTCTTCTTGCATGTGAAGGCTCACGACGATGGAACACTTATGGTGCACACCTTCCGAGTTTTACCATTTTTGCCAATTACATCACCGACGCCAGTACTAGTTAAGTCAACTGGTAAAACTCAAGAAGCACGCCAGGCCAATGGGTCCCAGACTGACAGCTCCGTGAACGACATTGATGGAGCACTGCCTCCATATGATCCGGTGTATCGTGCAAACAGGTAGGAAACCATGCTTATTGTGAGGAATATAACCCGAAGAAGAACAGCTGTAGTCCCGCTGGGGTTCACCATTATTTAAACATGCTGTTATTTTAGAGGTCTGGCTTTGGAAGATGGGTACATATGCAACGTGTCGAGGCTAGAGTGGATAAAACCAACAAAAGGCAGAGCGAATCTTATGTCAGAATTTCAGTGCGTTACAACTTGCAGCTCCTCGCTGAGCTCATTAAAGCAGACACTGTGTGCCAGGGTTCATTTCGTACTAGCCACAAGATCACTTTTCTCTCAGCCCAAAGTGGTTCTTGGCCGTCACTGCACTCCCAAGTCAATTATGGTGTAATTAAGGTCTCTCTGATAGTCGACACCTCAGTGTTGATTACCGCTGAAATTACTAAGCAATGTGGCACATGAGTGCTGGTTTTTGTAACTCTGAAAAAGTGACTAAATGATGGATTTTTTTCAGCTTGTTTCCACAAAGTAAACTTAGTACTGTCTTAGTGAAATTGGAATGATTAATTCAATTCAATTCAATTCAATTTTATTTATATAGCGCCAAATCACAACAAAAGTCGCCTCAAGGCGCTTCATGGATACAGAGAAAAACCCAACAATCATATGACCCCCTATGAGCAAGCACTTTGGCGACAGTGGGAAGGAAAAACTCCCTTTTAACAGGAAGAAACCTCC